ATTGAGGGAGAAAAATTGATTATCATGTCGATATTATAATAGGCTCCGAGAACGAAATTGATGTCGCGTCAAATTTTTTTAAATGAGGCCTCTTATCTTTAAGAATAACGGAGAGTGTATTCGATAAATAGATTTTTCATTACGTATAATATACCGACATTTTGTTGTAACAGCACGTTGAATTTTGTTACGACGTTATCCCTAATAATAATCTGAGTTTTTATCCATTTAAATGACATTTAATTTAACGTAGTAAAATTTGAATTTATTTTAGGGGTAAAAGGCTTTTAATTAAAAATTGATTTTTTAAATATTTTTTTAACCGACGTTTCGTAATTTGCTGATATTAATGCGTGAATTGATTTGGAAATGCGATTACATCTATAAATGCACTTTTCGTCTCTCTCTTAATTCTGTAGATACATGAGTGATGGACGAGTCGGTGCTTTTTCCGAGCCGCGATACGTGGTCGATTTGTCGAATGGAACGATATTATCTTTAGCAACGAAGCGTTGCGCGTACATGAGAGAAGCGTCGAGGGGGCGCGCCGTTGATTCGCGTTTACGTTTCCGTTTACGGATTCCTCCGACCGTTGCTGATTCAATTTCTGCGAGGTCTGATATGCTCACGCCAGTGTGTTTATGTGTGCGTGTATGTTTGTGTGTGTGTGTGTGTGTGTGTGTGTGTGTGTGTGTGTGTGTGTGTGTCGATACAGTACATATCGAATTGTGGCGCGGTGGCGACGGTAAGCTGTCAAACGAGATTGCTTCCGAACCGCCACCGCTAGGATTTGTCTCCGAAAGATGAATATGATTTTTTTTCGCCGAGACAGTGAAGTGCCGAGGATCGCGGGGATTTTCCCGCGGACGTAACACGTGTCCGCATACTTCGAAATATCGTTAAAAAGGAAAGATGGCTTTCGAAAAAGTTTTACAAAGTTATCTCTAAAATCTCTTTTATATCGTATTTTACGAACAAACGGAAATGATATGATAAGATAAAGTGAAATATGAGCGATAATAAAATGATAAATCTGAAATCTCCAATAACATGTAATACTTTGACAAAAATTTGTTAATGCATCTTTGCTTCAAATCTTTTCGATGAATAAACATTGATTTCATGAATTAAATTTTCAATAAACATCTCTTTCACATTTCTTTCTCGTTACTCGAATAAATGATGTCCCAAGAGCACCTATACAAGATGAATATTAACATTACTACTTTAACACAGTCTGTAAACTGTATCGAGAGGAAGACAGGCCGCTAATGTCTTTCCTTGGTTTTTTTTTCAATTTTTTTATCCCCAATTCTGCCACTTCTCGTCTCTTCATCGAGACGTTTAAATAACAACGCACGTCGGGTAAAAGGTAAAGCCCGTCATGAGCGTCTTATAGGATACGTCAAACAGCGGTGAAATTTGACGGGACGGAAGAGGGGATGCGGCCT